TCCTTAGAGAAAGAACGGCCTGTTATAATAGAAATGAGTAATCCAGTGGTATCCCGCTGCTACTCCCTACTGCTCCTTGTCTCTCCTTCTTGCATATACGTGTTGTCACACACAAGTATAATGTATACAGCTCAGACATTTTAACAGACGCCTCCACCCAGCCTGCCCCTAATGTAGTTGCCTCACTTCCAGCCGTTGGAGAACAGATTGCTCGTTACATCACTCAAGCGTATTGTTCTCATTTCTCCCTATAGCATATGTTCCTTCTAGATGCTTTTTAGCTCATAGTTGGGGAGAGGCAAAACATATTCTGCATTTTAAGATTAATATTATATATCCTTGACTTTTACAAGGATAGACACCCTAGGAACTGACGTTTAATAGATGTTAATGGAATTTAATTTTTACACACCCTATGTAAGAACATTTATCTTTGAAATAAAATGCTATGAAACCTTCCGTGGTACTAAGAAAATTTCAAAACACATTATTTTTCACTCTATATCTTTAAATCAAGCTACAGAATTTGAGCAAAGTGGAAAAGCTGTTTCTTGATATTTAAAACATGAATATAATTATCACTAATTTATTACACTGAGAGTATCAATGGGCATTTTGCCAGAGTTATTACCAGCACAAAACAATTCTAAAGTGGTGCCTAAAAAGAAACTTTTTTCACAACCTACTTTTCCATTGATTTTCATTAGGCAAGAAGTTCTTTCTGCAGTAAATAAATGAATAAATAAATAAATCTGGCTCCAAACATATTAAATAATAAACAGCATGATAAATGTTGCATAAATTTTTATGTAAGAAAAAAAAACTCTAATAAAGCAATACCACTCAGAAGTACTTGTAAAATTATAGGTACTTGACAGTGCGTGTTGAGTAAATTAATTTGTTCTAAGGCTATGCCTAGGAGCATAATAGCCACTTGTTTTTATAAGTACATTTTTGTCTGGATGTGAAATATAGTTTAATTTTAGATTTTGGTTAATGTTATGATTCATAGAATTTAGATAATTAAAGATATTAGAAAATATCACCTTTGTAATCTTCCTAATTCATGAATGAATATATAAAAAACTATCTATTTATCCTCTACATATTTAAAATGCTGAAACCTCTCCAGTTCCAATTAATGAAGAAACCCCTTCTCTTTTTCCTTCAGTGACTGGCATTGGAATGCCAACCTAATAAACATTTGATGAGTAAATGAATGGTTTTGACAGAAGCCAGGCACTTACAGAAAAAACGAGGTAATAGGGCAAACTTGCAAGGAACATACGAGGAAACAGATCCTGTTCTTGTCCTGGTTCTGTCATGGGCTAGCTGTGTGATCTTAGGTAAGCAACTTGACCCTCTTGAGCCTTGATCTCTTCCGTGTAAATGTGGATGTCTGAGATAATCTTGAAGGGCCTCCTACTTTTCAAACCCTAGTTCGAAATCTTAAAATTAGCCAATCATTCTTGCCAGTTTGACTTTGGACTTTAGCCATAGGTAGAGACACATTTAGGCTATAAAACCTCAGCATTTGAAATCACATTAGTAGCCTCTAGAACTAACTCTGTTTAGGTTCACTGGGCTAAGGCAAGCAGTAGAAAGACAGGAGCCTGGGTGGCTCTGTAGGTTAAGGGTCTGCCTTCAGCTCAGGTCATGATCTCAGGGTCTTGGGATCCAGTCCCACACTGGGCTTTCTGCCCAGCAGGGAGTCTGCTTCCTTTCCCTCTGTGCTCTCCCTCTCTTTCTCAATAAATAAATAAAGTCTTGGGGAAAGAAAAAAGACAGAAGCCTGAGGGTTCACACATAAAAGATGTGAGCAAGTGTAGGAGACAATAGCAGTAGAAGGATATCTACAGAAAGCATCATAGTTCACAAGTCTCCAGATAGCAGGTTTTCTCTAGAGGTAACAGTAAGTTTTATTTATGTCTGATTAACAACTGATTAATTTATAAAAGGTTTCCCTTCCGAAGAGAGCACTAGAATGCTTTATTTCCTAATTGGATGGTGACTTTACCCATAAATAAAAGAGAATCACTGCTGTTTATTGGAGTATCAGTTTGACATGGTAGGTTTGTTCTTGTCTCCGTCCTGATTTACTGTATGACCTTGGGCCAGTCATTTATCTTCCTCCAAACCAGTTTCACTAATTATAAAATGGAAATAAAAATACTTGCTGCCTTCACAGAGGATTAATGAGACAAGGGTGAATGTCTAAGCTCCCCGGGGGAAAGGCTGTATATAAGTAAGCAGATAACGGCTAAGCAGAAGTGCAGGGCTTTCCACAAAACTTGGGAAAGAAAAAATCCACAACGATAAAACCCTAGGGCTTTAAGTTTCCTAGTCTACAAGAAAGGGGGCTCTCCCCTTAGAAACGGTCCAATTTTTCCTCCAGCATACCCTGGAGCCCGGGAAGGTCAGTTGCCAGGAGACAGGCGCTGAGTTTATTCCTCCAGAGTTCTAACCCTTTCTCCTCCGTGAACAGTGACATCCTGGGAGGCAAATTAGTGTTCTGCTTCCTCAATTTCTTCTTCTGTAAAATACCGGTTATAATACTTAGTCACAGACAAGGAGACGCAAGCATGGATGCCTGACATACAGTGAGTTCTAAATAATTATCTCCTAGGTCTTCAGCAGCATAATTCAAACTGCTGGAATATTTTCCTCCTAAAAATCAAAGGCTCTGATGAAAGAGAGTTGGGGAATAAAGGTAGACGTGATGTAACATTTGTGATTTGAAAGGGGCTCAGGGAACTAAAATAAAGCTTTGATTCAGCTCACTTATGCTGAATAATATGCGTTTGGACAACGCCTTAAAATTCGCGTGTGCGACCGCCAGGGGACACTGTGAGTCTGCTTTGGCGCTGGAGAGGCAACAGCCGCGCGGGGCCGAAAGGGCTGGACGCTTCTAGCATCCCAGCACCCTGGAGAAACACACCCCCTAGTTCGGGCTCGGGAAGGCGTGGCCTTGATGACCCAGCGGGGGGTGGGGGCTGACAGCTCTAAGCTCGGGTTCCCCTCCGACCCGGCAACAGGTTTCTTCCCGGCAGGTTCTTCCTGGCGGTTATCTTTCCTAATGTGGGATCCGCTAGTGTCTGAGCTTGGGAACCCAGACACCCTTCCTCTACCACCCCCAAACTGTGGGGAACATTTGGGGTGTGCCTCTGCGTCGGGTGTAGGCAAAAGAGTCAAAGCTGTCTTTTGGTTCTTTAAGAGATCTGTGTCCCTAAAGGGGTTAAGCTCTTCTGATTCAGGAAAAGAGGACCTCCTCTCCCTAAAACAAAACAAATCAAACAAACAAACAAAAACAAAAAGCCCAAAGCGCGGTTTTGGAAAGGACTCTGAAATCACCAGTTGTCCGTCTCCAAGGTCCGGGCCCCCGGATGGCACTCCCCACCGGGATTCCTTCAGAGACAGAGCCCAGTTTAGGTCCTGAAACACCTCAGGTGCGAAGCTGAATCGCCCTTCTGCGAAAAGAAGACAGTGAACTTGCCCCACCGAGTACCTGGACCAAAATGATCTTAGCCCAAGAGGTCAGATGATTAAGGAAATTTAGGCGATGCACTCTATCTGTTCCACCTGCCGCTCGGGTCCCCACGCCCAGGCGTTTGCCCAAGCAGCAGCAAGACAGGCGAATTGGGTTGATTCTGTTCCCTAGAGAGAAAGTGCCGCGGGCAGAGATGTCCGAGCGTCTCTAAAGCGAGGGGATGGTAGCGTGTCAATGTCCCCGCGATCCCGGACGGGAGGAATGAGCTCTTCTCCCTAGGCTCCAGGACGGAGCACCTGGAAGCGACCCTGGGGACAGCTGCCCGGGGAGCCCGGGCAGAATTCACTGTGGGCGGACCGGACTGGAAGCACAGTGGAGACTAGGGTCAAAGAACCTGGCAGATAGTACGGGGGGAGGGGAGCGGAATGCGCCTGCCTAGGGGAAAGTACGACCCATCCCAAACTTTCGCAGACTCGGGGGGCCAAGGAAGGGCGAGCCAGGTAGAAGCACCAGCTTCTTCCGCCGCCCCGCGCGCCCAGATGCAGTGAGAAGGGGCGGCACGCAGCGCGGGCTGGACGCGGGCGGCCGCCTGGTCGCGCCCACCCGCCGGGCTAACGTGCCACCGCGCGGGGCTCTGGGCCGGCGTCCACGGAAGAAACCAGACCGCTCCCGCCTGCGCGCCGGCTCCGAGGAAGGGGCGTGTAGCTCGGCTTGGGCGAGGAGGAGGGAAACTTGGCCTCGCAGCCTCGCCCGACCAGGTCGGGCGGCGGGGACGTGCCCTTGGGCGGCGGGCGAGCCCGCCGGCTGAAGTCGGAGAGGCTCGGGAAGAAGTGAGCGCAGAGCCGTCCACGACTAGAGAAATCGGCTTAAAAAGAAATGTACAAAGCGATCCAAGGCCGCCGCGGGAGTCCGGCAGCTTAGAAGCCACCCCCGCGCACCAGGAGGACGGCAGCGACTCGCCCTCGCGAAGACGAGGCGCTCCTGGGCTGCCGCGGGTCTGCGCGGAGGAGCCGCCTCCCCAGCGTGGGGCGCGCATTCAGACGCCGGCGGCGGCCAGAAGCCGAGATGCGGCGCGGGGCTCCCGGCCGGTCCCGGGCCAGCAAACTCGCGGGCGGACCCGCGCGCCGCTGACCCCGCGCGAGTCCGAGGGCTGTGCCGGCCCCGCCCGCCTCCGCCCCCTCCCGCGCCCGCCGCGCGCCCCTCCCCGCGGCGGCGGCGGCGGCAGCGGCGGCGGCGGCGCATCCAGGAGCGGCGCGGAGCCGCTCGCCCAGCCGCCAGTGCCTGCGAGCTCCAGGCTGCTTGGGGAATTCACTTTGCCGCTTGGACGCTTCTCCCTCCTAGGGCTTCTCCTGGTGGCTCTCCGGCTTCGACCCTCCCCTTTTCCTTTAGACGGAAAACTTCGCTGCTGTTTCTTTTTCCCCTCGGAGGACAGGATTAAAAGTTCCCAGAACTGGTGCTGCCCGTGCCGCTCGGGCGCTGGAACAGCTCTTGCCCGTGGGGTTCCGGTGCCACCATGTGCACCAACATAGTTTACGAGTGGCTGAAAGCGCTGCAGCTCCCACAGTACGCCGAGTCCTTCGTGGATAACGGCTACGATGATCTGGAGGTGTGCAAGCAGATCGGGGACCCGGACCTGGACGCCATCGGGGTGCTGGCGCCCGCGCACCGCCGCCGCATCCTGGAGGCCGTGCGCCGGCTGCGGGAGCAGGACGCCGCCGCCGCCGGCCTCTACTTCACGCTCGAGCCGCAGCCGCCGCCCGCGCCGCCCGCCGTCGCCGTCCCCACCGGCCGCCGGGGGGAGCCGTGCGGCGGCCCGGCTCCGGGCCCCCACGGGGACCCCCGCGGCCAGACGGCCGCCCCCCGCAGCAGGGAGCTGGTGAGCTACCCCAAACTGAAGCTGAAGATCATGATCAGGGATAAGCTCGTCCGCGACGGTATCCACCTGAGCAAGCCCCCGTACTCCCGCAAGGTAAGGAGGCGCCGCCCGGACCGCGCGGGGCGCGCGGCGGGAGGGGACACGTCCAGCCGCTGCAGCCCATTCCAGGTGACGACGGGGAGGCAAGGATGCTTGGGGTACTTGGGATCTTGTCTCTTTCTGTGTTCGCTCTTTATGCTTTCTTTCCTGGTGTCACCAGCGGCTGGTAAGGCAAGATCCCACACCCAGGAGTCAGTTCTAAACTAGGACCAAGACTCCGCTTAATGTCTGGTGCTCTACTGTGGAGAACTGGACGAGCGGCCCTACTCCAGGAGCAAAGGGCAACCCTGGATCCCCACCACTCCCCGTAGCAGTGCTTAGGTCTGAAGGGTACTGGAACGGTTAGTACTACAGGCGTTCCCTATCTTTTGGAGAAACTTCCAAAGGGAAATTGGCCAAGTCTTCAAAGAGTGGGAAATCGGACCCTGTTGCTATCAGTTCCATACAGTCGAATGCCTTCACTGCTGCAAATTTGAAAAGTGAACCACTGACATGGACATTCTGGGGGAAGAGTTAAGTGTCAGTCCACTTGGGGTAGTTTCTTCAACTTAAGTACAGGGAGGGAATCCGTGCTAAAGACATTGGACATAATGGGGCCAGTGAGGGGGTACTGCTGAGCTCTTTGCTGGGTCACCAGTTTAGTTTACTATTAATCCAGATGAGATGAAGAAGGCACAACTCTTAGTTCTAGAAAGTCTGAGTGGACTCCCCTTTGGGAGGAGAGAGCACAGCTCAAGGAAGTGAGATTTTCTGTGGCCAGTGAGGAATCCCTGGGGAGGAATCACAGGGAATGAGCTAGGAGTTTATGGAAGCTACTGAAATATGGACTTGGGCGTAGAATAATTAAATAACAGAAAGTCTTGTTTTCATACAAGAGCTGTCCCTCCAGATAAGTGTGTAGGCTTCTGGAGTCATCCAAGTAGAGGGTCCTGCCTTGAAAGAGAGAACTAGGCACCACAGGTAATCCCCAAGCCTGCTTGGAGTTTCCCAGGAAAAGGAGCCCCTCAGCTGGAAATCATATAGAGAAGCCCAGAGGGAAAAGGTGGTGAAGAAGCTATAGCTGGGGGTGGGGGAGGGGGAAGAACAACTGTGAACACCGCACCTGAACAGGGAAATGCGGATTATCGAAATGTTTTGTGCTCATCTTAGTCACTTGAGTTGCTTTATATTCTTAATTAATGGTCAGAACGTCTGGATTTAAGGAAGGGCAAGTGAAAACTTTCTAAAAAGTGGTTAAGGTAGATAAGAATGAAGGGTTTAATATTGTCCATACGTTATCTTGCAAGAAAGGTAAGCAATTCAGATACTGTGCTTGGGAGTATAAATTTGTTTTATAAAAATAAATAGGGCAGGTCTGAAGGACAGTTTGCCTCAAGTTAAACACATATTTCAGTTACCCACTCTGTGTTACTGATGTGTGGCCCAAACGGGAAGACAGAGGAAAGCACACTTTTCCCAAGCAGGCAGCGTTAGTTACGGCTGGTGTGGATGGGCGGGCTGGATCATTAGTATAAGGCTCATTCCTGGAGATAGCGGGTCAGAGGAGTTCAGCCGGGTCACACTCTTGTGATTTGCTTCCCAGGAAGTGAATTGGGTGTGAGCTGAGAAAATGTGAGCGTGTGGGCACACGGTAAGGGGGTAAGGGCGCAGGTCGAGGTCTGGCCAGAAAGGGCTATAGAGAATAAGGTGTGTCCCTGGGGCTTGCTTATTTTTCAGGACCAGAGCTGTGATCAGGCAAGGGGGGCAGAAGAGAGGGTGGGCTGGAGCGGAGAGTGGTGTTCAGGAAGTATCACGTTTTGGTTCTGATACTTAAAAACACAGGCATAGATAGCAAACTTTAGAAGCTGAGAAAGATTCTTGTATGGACATGAAATGTGTGGGTGTAGGCTTCGGACGGTACCCGCCTGCCTAGATCAGCGTGTGATATGGTAGTGCGTTTGAGCAAGTGTGATTTACACAAGAAGATTTCACCTTGTGTCGTAATACTGTTTTCTTTCTGTGTAAATGATTACTTCAGTCAATTTCTATATGAATCCTATAACAATGTTTGATAATAAAGATACACCTAATTCACTTCCTCTACACACTTAATTCTGGGTCTTGAACAGATGAAAGACTAGAGTGGGGGCAGAAGTAGTTTCGTACCTCCATTGGTATTCTGCCCGTGAATCAAAAAAAAAAAAAAGATGGCAAATTAAATTATAAAAAAAAGAAAAACAAAGTTCTATTCCTGTAGTTTTCTATATCTGCTATAAGAAAAACCCAGTTTGTTTCAAGAAAAACACAGAATAGGAACTGAAATATAATTACTGTATCCCAAACTGAGCATTCAGGTGTACAGTGCCAGATCACATGGGTCATTCTGAATTTGTTGCTTATGTGTGCATTGCCTCTAAAGTTTTGTGTCTTAAATTATTTGAGAATTGTCTTCTGATGCAGCTTGTTTCTGTGTAGATAGTGCCAGGACTTTTCTTTAAAATGTGATCCACATTATATATCTCTGGGTTCCTTGGCTCTGTCATGATCAGAATGTGTAGCTGTTCATTACATGCATCGGGATTCTGCTTTCTTGAGCGAGCCTCACTTCGCCTTTATAGTCATTTGCATCATCAATCCCTGTGATTTTTTTTTGTGTGTGTGTGTGAGACTATTGGATGGCTTGAAAGTGGATTTATACCCTGGATGGCCAAGGCAGGAATAGCAAATCTTTATAGAGGAAAGTAAATTGAGGAGTTTTCCTAAGAATGACCAGAAAGGGCTCTAGGACTGTAGAATTTGCTTCAGGAAGAGTTAAGGTTTGGGCTGTTGTGCTGCTGGCCTGGCCTCATCTTACCAGGTGCTGCCACTCTCCCCTCTTAGGTGAGTTGCAGTGTAAGTAAAAGGTAAGTTTCTTTTTGTTTTCCAAAGACAATAATTAAAATCTAAGTTCAAAGTAAGTTCTCCTTTGTTTTTCCGAAGAAAGTAATTAAAATGTAAGTTCAAAGTAAGTTCCCCTTTGTTTTCCAAAGCAAGTCTGCAGCTTTGGAAAAGCAGGAGCCTGGAAAGAACTCTGCTTGAAATCAAAAAGCAGTAGACAAGTCCCTTTTCTATCCTGTGTATAGCTTCTGTGACTGCTGTGATTGCTGCCTTAGCAGGATGGGGATATGTTTTCATAGGGTAGGAATTAGATAGAGCTCTGTGCATATGATCTCAGTTCTTCACCAGGCTTCCCTACAAGCCCCAAGGCTCTAGGTTACTGTGCTTGGCAGGATGCAGAAGCCCCGCCCTCACGGAACTTGGGGTGTAGCAGGGAAGACCTACGGTGGAATGAACAGTCATGTTAAAGTGTGATGATTGCTTCGGTGGGGAGTGCATGATGCTGTGGGCAGGTGCATCTAACTTCATTTACAGGGAGGTGGGTCGGAGCAGGCTTTCCAGAACTAGCATTTAGTCAGAGAACTGAAGGTTAGGAAAGTTTGGCCCTAGAAAGAGCAGGGTTCTAAGATAGAACAGTATGTGCAAAGGCCAGGAAGGCAGGAAGTTGAGTGGGCAACAGGAATTGAAGGGAACTCAGTCTGCCTGGAGCACAGAATGCTTGGAGGAAAAGGCAAGAGTTGGAAAGACACTCAGTGGCTGTTCCTGGATGGCCTTGACCTCCTGTTTAGGAATTTGGAGTGTATCTTGAGAGGGAGCTGTTGGTGGATCCTGAGCAGAGGCAGGGTGAACAGTTAGGTTGTTGGAGAGTCCAGGGAGATTTGCAGGTGGCCTGGACTGGGGGAATGAGTTGGGGAGGAGCAGTGGAGGTAATTGAGAGGTGGAATGGACAGAATTTGATGATGGTTTGGATGCCAGGGCTGTGAGGGGAAAGCTCGGGGTGACATGCAGATTTCTGGCTTAGGATTGCAATGCTATTCCCTGACGAGGTAGAGGACCTGAAAGAAGAGCACATTTGGGGAGAAAGATGTTGCCTCCGGAGTATGTTTACTCCCTTAGAAATCCACTTGCGTTCCACCTGTTCATCCTCCCCAGAACCCCTGGCAACCACTGATCTTTCTCCTGTTTTGACGGTTTTGTCTTTCCTGGAACATCCATGGTTGGAAGCATACAGTATGTAGTTCTTTCCCTTGGTAATGTGCACTCACTGGTCCTGCGTGTCTCCTTCTGGCTCAACAGCTCATTTCTCTGAGTCTGAATAGCATCCCATTCTCTGGATGTACCAGGACAACCTTCTAATGAAGTCTGGCTGAGAACACGGACCTAAGGCTACGGCTGGAGAAGAAGGGAGGCTAAGTCAAGGGAAGGGTTTTGTTGAGTTACTTTTTTGAAGGATGAGAGGAGCTCAACACTCCTGTCTGAGTGTTGGTGGCGGAGAGCCAGAGACAGGGAGATGTCCCACAGGCCAAGGTCTTGGAGGAGGTGGGAGGGAATCGTGCCCAAAGCACTAGAAGGGGGTAGATTTTCTGCTAGGGGAGAGAGGTGCGTCCTCCATAGTAGGAAGGAGCAGAGGAAGGATGGCTGAGGTGGGGTGACATTGAAGAGCCCTTGTGTGTCTCTCTGACCATCTGAAACCAGTGAGGGGGGAGGTGGAGGGATTAGAGGTGTATGGAGAAGATTGTGTTCATATACAAATATTGGGTGCTATGATCTGGTGCGTATGGCTATACCTAAGCATAAACATGAAGCAGTAGTGCTTCTAGGATATACGTAAGCCCACGTATATAGACGGTGTCCTTGTCGTTCTCATGTACGGGGTACAGGCGGCAGGCTATGCGTGAGGCTGTATCAAGCCCTGGGCTGTGTGGCAGCACCGGGAAAGGCGGTGGGGTAGGTGGGAATACTGCGGGGTTCTAAAGGCGTTGTGTTTACTAGCAGACTTGGAAAAGCAGAAAGCAGGTCTTCCGGTGGATAGCGGATGGGGCAGGCTTCTCCACTTCTTCACGTGAAACATATCTCCTTGGCATGCATTACACTTTAACACTGTTTGAGTTAGTATAACCTTATTTAATAATGCTGTA